ATTTTACCAGATTTACAGTCTCCTTTAGCTGGATAAATGTGACCTATATTTGAGAAAATATAGTTTCAGGTGGGTGTATCAGTTTCCTCCTCAAGCCTCTTGGTGATCTAAAGCCCGAATTAGCTGTGAGATTTTACACCAGCATCAGGGAGTGCTCTTTGTTGGGTGGACAAAAGATGTCCTGTTGTTCCTGGCTGTGAATAATGCTTACAGTCCATATAAGGAGCATGTGACATAACGTCACCTCTCCTTACCTCTGTAGTTCAGATCATTCTTCCCTGATATGGGATATTAGGTCCAGAAGGAAGCACCACAGCCATAGCTCTTGGTTTCACCGAATTAGGAGCATCGCTGGAGGTTCAGGTGGACCCAGCGATGCCTGCGTCACTGATTGTATCTCTGTAATGAATAAACCAATGTGACTTGCTCTATGAAAATCCTGGTTGAAACTGATGTTCCAGCATATTCTGTGACCCATCATATAATACGACTCAAGGGTGCGCTCTTTTGGATTCTCCTCACCAGTCTGTTATTTACTAACCCTAACTTCACAGGATAAATATGTTGACCTTAAGAAGTCTACAGTGAAAAATATGTTATAAGCACTTCGGTCACAATATAGGATGGGTCACAAAAAGGTGAAACATTTTCAAGCAGCAGATATTTGATAAAGTGTCAAATAAACAGGAGTGAGGGTTTTCTCACCCGCCTTCCTTCCTTCCTTCCTTGGGTGGGTTTCGATTACTACTTGACTCTTTCTTTTTTTTCTTTATCCACTCTCATAGCCTCTATGGATTCAGGTCTAATCCAGTGCAAGAACAGATATTTTGCCAACCTGTGATTAAAGTAATAAAAGCACTACTGTTCCAACTGAAATGGGTGATTTTCTTTTATCTTGCTTCTTTGTTGTTGTTGCTTTGTCTCCTTTTTCAGGTTTAACATAATAGCTGTGCTCAAGATGTTCTTACATTTACACCCTCTATTGTCATTTAACGCTTTATAATCACATGAAAAGGTAAACTTTTTCACTAAAAGCAATCTCTCTTTTTACAGTGTGATCATTCTTGATCATCAAATCAGAAAAGGTTATGTATAGTTCTAATCTGTTGTAAATAAAAGCCTATTATCGGCAAATGCATATTTTAAATTGTATTCTTTATCCTTTTTGGAATCAGGGTTTCCACACATACCACATAATTGTTTTATAAAATATTATATAGGCACAAGACTTGACTCTATTATGTGTTGAAAGATCTACAATGTGTTTTAACTTGATAGTGGAAAGCTCTGTTTACTCCAAGTAAGTAATCATTGTTGCCTACAAGTGTAGAGTATTTTATTGACAGCAAACAAAGGAAGACCAACAAAAGGAGAAAGCAAAAGGAAAAATCTTGAAAAAAAATTGTTTCGTGATCCAAGATTATCATTGCAAAACAATTTTATTTTACTTAGCGGTTGTACAGATGAGTCACCACTTAGTGACATCCTGACACAAACTGTTCCCGTTAGTCCAAGAGTCAGGATTTTGGCCTCCTAGGAATTAAATACAGCTGGAATAATGGTTGCACACCATCCATTGTCAAGACACCTCTATTAACTGAGATAGTTCCAAGCAACAAAAAGCTTTTACTCCAAATGTGATCCCTCAAGGCTGATTTATATTCAGAAACCAGGCACTCTGCTACACCTCTCCAAAATTGTAGGTGACGCAGACGTACCGCAGACAGGAGGCCTCTGATTGGTCAAATCTACATCCACTCTATACTATCCATATTTCCTGTTTGGTACCTTACCGACTTGTTTTGTTTGTATGACCGCCATTGTGGAAAACGACTCATGAATGAGGACAAGCTAGAAGAGCGAGGTGCTCGAGAACGCCGGGACCCTTTTTCCACCTGGATCCCCGCTCTTTTTCGCCCTCATAGAATAGAATACAATAGAATAGAATAGAATAGCACAGAATTCATCTTTATTGCCATTGCACTGTCACGAGTACAAAGCAAGGAAATGTGGTTTGCATCTATCCAGAAGTACTATACAGGATATAAATATTGTTACAGGTTTATGTACAAGCAAAAAGTAATAGTTGGAGACTGTAAAAAGTTGTCTATAAATATAAATATGAATATAGGAGCTACATGCACAGATTATACAGAATATACTGGAATGTTAGGAAAAGGATTATATATGTATTAGCGGGTTTATAATGCAAGATAAATAACAGCAGATAAGACCATTATTTGTCCCTCATGTCCCTCCGTTATCGCACAAACTTGCCCCCCTTCCTCGCCGCCTCGGCCGTATCTAGACCCACAGTTAGTTCGTGATTGTCCCTCTTGTGTTGTGGCGTGGAATATTGTAGCACAGACCACACTTCAGTATTTGCATAAATCAAAACCCTGTGATAGAGTGCTAAGCCTTCTGGCGTGTACACAGCTGATCATCCACTCATTATTCCACCACTCCAAACCTTCTATGGATCATTTTCTTACATTTCACTGTGACACAGTGAGGTAAATTAAGATGTGGGAACTAATCATTTCCCTCTAAATGGTTTGTAAAACTCTGTCAAAGACTTTTGGTAAGGAACATTGTGGTACGGCTGCAATGACTCCATCTTTCAGTTCATAATATCCCAAAACCTGAGCTCACAATTAACCCAGAAGGGCAAGATGATCCTGTACCTACCCTTTAGTGGTAGGAGTCCTAAATTTTACAAAGGAATAAACACTGCTTTGTTAACCCAAAATAATGGCTAAGTCCAGTGGCGGCTGGTCAATAGAGGGCGCTAGGGCGCCGCCTCACCCATCCAATGACCTTCATTTAGACATAAAAAAAAACAAATAAAAATTAAATTGTAAAATTTAAATATTTCCAAATATATTCAAATATATTTTTATATGTGCAAGATAAATATTTAATCTTAAATGACGAGTAAAGCTGTTTTGTTCGTCTTCGGATTTGTGACTTAGTTCCGCACTGGGGTGCAAAAATCTTTGGTCATAGACTCTCATTAAAAGTTATACATGTGCAGTAGTAGCCTCGTGAGACCATCCTTCTCTTGCGAGCTTTCAAGGTTTCACTCGCAGATCAGTCGGGCTACTTTACGTTAAAGAAAATTTGGAGCAGTTCACCAAACGAACGTCCAATCAGCGTTGGCTTTGAGGCGGGTTGAGGTGTGACGCAACGAGAAGCGCGACGGTGCAGTCTAAAGAACATGGCGGCTTCAGCCGATGAAACTAGCGTTAGCGTGGCTATCGAGCAAGTTTTATCGGAATCACAGTGTATTTCTTCACTGAAAAAATAGCAAAACACTGCTCTGGAGGCTTTTCTCAGAGGAAAATATGTTTTTGCTCTTCTCCCGACTGGTTTCGGCAAGAGTTAGATCTATCAATTGGCTTGTGCCTGGCTTGTGGTTGTGTTTTCTTCGTCGCTCTGTTAGTACGTCATATGCTTCGTTGATCTGATTGGTTTATTTGGCCCGTCTATCGCCAACATAGGCCAATCAGCTAACCAGTATTTTCGGCCCTTCCCAAAATTTCTTCAACGGAAGGTTTCCAGATGGATATGCGGAGCAAATCCAGCAAATCCATCTAGCGGAGTCAGATTTGCGCAGTAGATCCTTTGCAATAAAAAACAATAGGGGAGCTCCCCGAGCTGTAAGGAAATGTTTTCACAGTCTTGGTGTGGCTGATTGACAGGCCAAGTGAAGTCTCTTAAAGTAAACTTACCAAGAGAAGCTGGAGGTGGAAGCATTTGGACCTGATCGGCCGAACATCAAAATGAATCATTAATCAATATTCCAAAGACAGATGGAGATGGTACACTCAGTCTTTTTCAGGACCTGGTTTAGCTACAAGACTTGGCTAACTGCATGCAGCGATGCTAACGCTTTATTCTGCTTTCCTTTTTTTTTCAAATGTCAGGATCTGACCCAGCATGGATAGCGACAGGTAAGACTGATTTAAAGCAAAACTCAAAGAAGAATGAACAATCTGGGATTCACATGGCAAATAATATAATAAGGTGTACCTTTTCTAGGTGTTTGTTAATTTTTATTGTTGTCCTTAAATAAAACACATTCTCAAATAAATAGTTTTTATATATTAGGAAAAAAAACTGACTAATAGCTTCTCCATTATTAAAGTGGTGCATTAATTTTTTTTGTTTTGTGACACCATCTTGGACCAAGCAAAACACAGATTCACAAAGTCTCAGAAAGGAAAAATGTATGTAAATTTTTTGTTGGCATTCATATAAATACACTGGTGTGATAACTTAGTATAAGCTTGATTGGTTTTTGGTATACGTCTATTTTGAATTTATAGCCCCCCCGGAGAAAACTCCACCAGCGGCCACCGGTTAAACCTGAGTGCTGCAAAGACCACTCACTTGTATCTGTTATTAACAGACGACACAGAAATAAAAGTTTTCTCAAACACAACTTGCAGGACAGACATATAAATACATACAGCATCACCAGTAAATATGCACAGATTGATTACTCCTCAATTCTCTTTAAGTCACATCTTCTATGCAGGAAGACCTTCACCGGTTTTACTAGAATTTTATACTTTCCTTTCAGTTGCCTTGAGCATGGTGTGATCAGGAATAAAGTTTGCTCTTTTGTTGTATGTGTTTTTGTTCTTCCACTGCCGGCTGCTTTAACCTGATAGCTGTCCCCGGTGTTTTCTTTCATTCAGTATGCAACCTCTATAATTATATGCCCAATGCAGATGTAGTGGAAAATTTGCCTGGTCTAACCAGGTTTACATTCTCCTTTTAGCTGGATTAGATGTCACCTATAAATAAATAAAAAAGAAAGTTTCAGGTGGATGTATCATTTTCCTCCTCGTCTCTTTGTGATCTAAAACACATATTAGCAGTGAGAATTCACCAGCATCCAGAGCTTAGGGAGTGGCCTTTATTTGGGTGGACAAAAGAGTTCCCATGATTCTTTGCTGTGAATGATCCTAACAATATATATAAGCAACAGATCAGAGAGTCAGAGACAGAGAAGGTTCCTAGAAACAAGATGAAGGTATTTGTGCTTTTCACTTTTGCTGTGCTGGGCTGCAGTCTGGCTGGAGCTCGTATAGTCTCCAAATGTGAACTGAGGGATAAACTGAAAGAGATGTTCGAATCCCTTCCAACCATGAGGGATACAGGAATGGAAGAGGGCCGCTTCCTCGCCAAGGGTTCGTAAACACTGTTAGGCAAGAAACATGCTACTTAAAATGTGTTGTTTTGTTAAACAAGGAGATAAAAAAATTATTATTTCTTCTAAGCTGAAAAATTCTAATATAGACTTTTAACATTTTGTGATAGGGACTGGAAATGTTTTAGAATTGGCTTCTCTAAGATAGCATGACTTTCCATCAGTTTAATCAGAGCAGAATGAAAGGACTGGAACTGTAGACACAATTCTTTTAGACTATTAACTTCCTCTCATATTCAGGTATCAACTAGTTAGATTTACCTACTAACATTTAATTCAGTAACTATATCAAAAATACTTCTGGTAGTAGTTTTATTTTGCTATACTTTTTAGTTTTACTTGAGTTATAATCTAATGAAGCATCGTTATCTGTGAGCTATTTGGAGAAAGGTTTTATGCTGAAAAATATGGATTTGGAATAGTGTTTGTTTAATCTAAATCAAGTTCTTAATTTGTATTATTTTTGTTTTCATATATAAAATACCACGATTTACACATAACTGTCTGCCTATTACATCACTTTCAAAAATTATATCAGATGTTCCGATCCCCCAAAATCTTTACTCAAGTTACGTTTTTACCAAATACTTTTTACTCTTACTGTAGTAATTTTTTGGAAGACTGCATTTACTTTTCTACTGGAGAAAGAAAACGGTGAAGTTGTGCTACTTTTATTCAATACTTCATTGTACTCTACTCTATGATTCTGCCTAAATTAAGCTGAAACTTTAGGAAACTCTTCCGCCTGGATTACAACTTAGTGAGACATTATGTAAGATTATCAATGGATTTACGGAATTTAAACTGAGCTATGTTGAGTACAGTGGTAATTAAATACATTTTTTAAGTATCTTTACTCGAGTCTTCTTTGCAAGGAACTTTAATTCCACTTCATTTCAATATCAAATATTGTACTTTCTACTCCACTAGATTTCCAGGGAAGCCAGTTGTTAATCAATCCTTCTGGCTCAGCTTAGTTTTGAGATTCGCTGTATTGAGTTTTTCTCAAAATTCTGTTGTTTAACGAGTGCATTTTTGACTGAGCAACTTTTACTTGCAGTTAAGTAACATTTGACCATTAGTATCAATACTTCTACTCAGTTACTATAGTTGAGTAATTTGTTCACCTCTGGTTGAGCAGAGCAAATAGTAGTGTGCACTGATCTTAATGATGGTTGGTTGTTTTTTTATTTCTTATTTTTATTTTGTTTTTCATTGTGTGTGATACATGAACACTTGCACCTTAATCCGTATTGATCTTGATATACTGTATATATATTGTTTATTCTTAATGCACCTTTTTCCTCCTTGTTTGCACCTTCTTCTTTAATTACTATGCCAATATGTGACCAGTGAAGTTCTCCGCTGTGAGATCAATAAAGCTAATCTAATCTAATCTAATTTATCTCAGAATTGTTCGATTCAGTTGAAGATTGACTGTTTTTCCTTTCCACATTTCAGTGGTCTGTCATGTGGAGCAGCGCTCAGGCTTCAACACCAGTGCTGTGACTGAAAAGGCTATCAATAATGCACGAGCAGCACAAATGTTTGGGGATGATGAAGTGACTCTCTACGGCCTTTTCCAGTTCCCTGAGGGTCTGGTCTGCAGCAGCGACAGCAAGTCAATGCCCAACATGTGTAATCTTGCTTGCGAGGGTAAGCTTTGCTTTAAGTTGCATTTCTTTAGATATTGGTATAATCTCCCTGCCATGGGAAGTGTTACCATATTTTATTTTTCTCAAGTTTCTTTATTTTATTATGATATTAAATTTAAGCCCGGATGTTTCTGTCATGGTCAAAAAAATGCTTTTATTGTTTTTAATCAGAACTGACTGATGACAACATATCTGATGACATCAAATGTGTGGGGAAGCTCTTCACTCTGATGATGTAAGTTATTATTGTTCAATGTTTGCTTTATATATCTATTTTATCAATGTATACAATTAAATAAAAATGCATATTTGTAGTCAATTTTTTTTTTTTTTTATTAAGTGGGAAAAAAAGGCTCACCACAGCAACCTGTACTGGAAAAAAATCCCCTTTCCAACTTCTGGTTGGGGCCAGCTATATAGTAAAAAAAGAAGAAAAATCTCTTCTATGTATCACAGGAAAGTCTTTAATCATGTAAAATCGGTTCATGGCTAAAAGAGATCTAAACCTGAATAAATAAATTAAAACTTAAAATAAGTTTAATTGGCTATATTTTCAGCAAGTAAATAAGATGATTTGCCAGTTGAATGATTATTTTGCAATGGAAGTAGGATAATGTTATTTCAAATAAAATAGAAATAATGTTTCGTTTTTTTAGATTTTTATAGAATTATCATTGTTTTATTTAATCTTCTGACCCATATACAAGAAGGACATTCAGAAAATTAATTAGTTAAATTAAGTTCGTTATGAAGATAGGGAATGAGAAAATAATGATGCGGTGGGCTGCGGCAACAAGGAGGTTGACAGGAACACTGGAGGGAGAGGAAGAATGAGTTACTGGGAATTAACTGGACAAGAGGGTCTAGATCTGAGTTTATGGGAGATGGATGTAGATGCCACCCGGGAAAGGAGAGATGATCTGGGATTGTGGTTTGTTGAAGTTATGAAGCCATCCAGAGGGAAGTGGCTGTAAGGCTGAGGCTGCTACAGGTAGAGGTGGTTGGTTTGTGGAGAGACACCGGAATGGAGATGAGGAGGAGCGTTTAGCAAACAAGGATAGTTTCTGTTAATGTTGTTGGTTTGTCACAGTGAACACCGGTCATGGATGCAGTTTCCAGAATAAAGATTTGTCACAAGTAAATCCAAATATGTAGTGTTTCCTCAGGTCAGAATTAGTAGGGACAGGACTCGAATCACAGCTAAGACTAGTACATGTTAGACTCTGGAGGCTTTGATGTTACCATGGTAACATTAAAGCACATGTGAATGGTCAACCACTTCTTTTATGCTGCCTTGGTGATGAGTTGCACTTGGGTAAGCTCACAGGTGCAGAAGAGGCAATCAACCTTTCAGCAGCCTCAGGATGCCCTCTAGTGGCAACATGAAGAATAGCCGAACAACAAAAGCCACATTTCCTGAGAAAAGTATCTTATTCAAATGGCAAATACCAATCTGCTCAAATGATTGTAAAAATACACCTATTTAGTTGAAGAAATATTTGCTTATGTTAAATTTTCTGCTATGTTAAAATCATCTTTTAAATTGCAAAGAGAATAGAGCGGCTTTCTTGAGTCAACTTATTCATGAATTTTGGTTTCAAAACAGGAAGTATCAATTAGTTAATTGGATTCTGATTTAAGTCAGCCAAGATCTCAGGGGTTGTAGCAAATATCATTTAAGTGCTTCAGTGTTAAGACAACAAATTGAACTGTGAATCAAGCTAAATCATGGTGAAACAGTAAACTATTCTAATAGGGTATATATTCACAATGTCAGAAAAGAATTTAACTCCACATCAAGCATATTTCACTTCACTAAACTAGTGAAACTCAACTAAAGTAGCCTACAGCGTACACACACACACACACACACACACACACACACACACACACACACACACACACACACACACACACACACACACACACACACACACACACACACACACACACACAAAATGACTGAACTCCCTAATCAATAAATTATGAAATGAGATCAAAGTTCAGCTAGAACTTTATGCCTGAGATTATCTTAAAGAATTTGGAACGAAGTCAAATTAGCTTTAAATTAATTTAGATCCATTGGAATGTGTTTGACTATTTCCCAATGCAAATCCAAGGGCTAACGAAGAGTATTTATTAAATTAATGTTTTAATTAAACAAAATAACTTCATGAACAGCAAATATGCGTACTTTGGAAATGTTATTTATTCAGGGTTTTGGTTAAATACAAGTCGTCCTAATCCCAAAGAACCAGAGCAGACTCAGTCTCACCACCAGGTATGACTGTCAGTTTGAAATTGTTTAGGTAAAATGTTAGGTTAGTTTCACACCAACTGTAACAAGAAACTAGAGGTGTTCTACTATTGTTTTGTCATTTCACAGAGTTTGCCCAGGCTTGGAGATAATCTTTTTCTTTTCTTTTTTTGCAACAGTGGGACACCTTTTTTTTCCTTTTAGTCGGCAGGGGTTCTGGCATTTTTGTTCTCCAGATGCCCCTTTTGCAGAGTCGTTTAAAAAAAAAAAAGAAAGAATCATGAACACTAACCTAATTAGAGGAAAGTTAAGCCTTTAAACCTTTAGATGTTGTTCTTGGTTCTTGTCTGACCTCCTGAATGAGCAATCTGTGCAGCTATTGGGGACCCCACCCTGTCCTTTGATTTAAAAAAAATGTATAGTCACTTATTCTGTTGTCCACTGGTGTAACAAAGTCCCAGAAATTGACCTGTAACGAGGTTGTTACAACTTGCTTTTCTCCTTTAATGAATAAAATGAAAACATTAAAAGTGTTTTCTATTATTAATCTGTTGAACTTGATCAAATGTTATGTTCTTCATCAAAATGTGAAGAACAAAATCGATAAAAAGAGATGCTGCAAACACTGTTTTATTGCTCTGCATATTATTTAAATTAAACTAGAAATACAAGAATTTTTGTAAAAAGGAGAAAATGTTCTACTTTCTTAAACAGGAAGAAAGCCTTCATGATGGAAAAACCAGAGAAGCTCTTTAAAGTGTAAGTTCTATTTTCAAACATCCTTCTTTATGTTTTACTTTCTTTGGATTTTCAAACTTTTTTTTTTCAACAAGATGAAAGTTTAGTTAATAAATCACATTATATGGTTACTCTGAGTAACGCAGATCCCCTCTGTTTGCAGCCTGAAGAATCTCATTGACGACGACTGCCATGATGTCAAGGACTACTTCAGCGATTGCTGAGAAAGCTCCAAACATCTTTAAATCTCAGTAGAATGATCAGTCTTCTTCACCATGTTCAAAAATCTTATCAAATAAAACTTTGAAGCATGTGCCATGTGTTGCTTTCTTCACAATGTTCCTATTCCCTTTGAAAAGTGCTAATAATGACTTTGGATGAGTGTAAATAAAATACAATAATTGGGTAAAACCATTGGTTTAGCATATAAAAATGCAGATCAATACAAACCGCTTTTATTTTTCCCTAATTTTCAAATGTCTAACAATCAACTTTAAAAATATTTTACTGCACTGGTGGGATTTCAGGGCTGCATGTTGGTGTATTTTGTAGCAACGTTGGCTTTGCAGTAAGGACGTGTTTTTTATTTCTGGCTGGGGTCTTTTTTCATGGAGTTTAAATGTCCTTCTTGTGTATGCAAAGGCATAAACTGGCATCTTTTCACAGTCAGTCTCAGATTTTTTGTGCCTCTGTGATGAATTGATGACCTTTCCAAGGTGTATCCTGCCTTTTGCCCCTCAACTGCTGAAGATGGGCACAAGCCCCCGTAATGCTGATGGACAAGCAGTAGAAGATGAATGGAAATAGTTTGTGCCATGTAGAAAAAATAAACCCTAACTTAAATATGCGGTATTTGACATACAATGCACACTTGTAGGAGCATGTAGATGAATGACTGAATCTAGTATCAAGCACTGTGGAGTCCTCTGACTTAAAATTCGATGTGTCCCTGCTTCTGCACACATGTGCACCTAAAGAAGGCAACTAAAATGTGCAGGCAGGTGTCTTTTAGGAGCAAGTTTGGGAGCCACTCTCTCCTATAGGACTTGAGTCTTACTTTGTCCTGCAGAATGATGCAGGAGGTAAGACTAGTGCATGTTAGACTCTGAATGCTTTGATGTTACCATGGTAACATTAAAGCGCGTGTAAAAGGTCAATCACTTCTTTTATGCTGCCCTGGTGATGAGTTGCACTTGGGTAAGCTCACAGGTGCAGGAGAGGCAATCAACCTTTCAGCAGCCTCAGGATGCCCTCTAGTGGCTAACATGAAGAATAGCAGAACAACAAAAGCCACATTTCCTGAGAAAAGTATCTTATTCAAATGGCAAATACCAATCTGCTCAAATCATTGTAAAAATACACCTATTTAGTTGAAGAAATATTTGCTTATGTTACAATTTCTGCTGTGTTAAAATCATCTTTTAAATTGCAAAGAGAATAGAGCAGCTTTCTTGAGTCAGCTCATTCATGAATTTTGGTTTCAAAACAGGAAGTATCAATTAGTTAATTGGATTCTGATTTAAGTCAGCCAAGATCTCAGGGGTTCTCGCAAATATCATTTAAGTGCTTCAGTGTTAAGCTTATTCATGAATTTTGGTTTTAAAACAGGAAGTATCAATTAGTTTGTTCTGCAACAGGGAGGTTGCAGGTTTGAACCCCAGCTAAATCATCTCATTTGTTGAGTCCTTGGGTACGTCTCCTAACATGCATTGCTTGCTGATTGTGGTCACAGGGCCCAGTGGAGCTCTGTCAGTCTGTCTGCAACGCGCTTGCCACGTTCTGTGTTTGAATGTGTTTATGACTAAATGTAGTGTAAAACACTTTTAAGTCTTCTGATTTGAAAAGGCTTTATATCAGTACAGGTTGTTTCAAACGTACCATATGTTTACTGTTCTAAAGTTGCTGAGAGATCCAGTGATTGCAATTTGTGGGTTTTTTTTTTAAAGTCCTGGTAAAGAAAAGCTACCTATGATGTAGAGTCCAACATGGTATCATGGATGGTACTCAAAGAACAAGGTTCCTGGGTTCTCTGCAAGAGAAATCATGTTGTTCATCCTATTTATGTTGCACTAATTCACTACAAGTATCATCTCAAGGCACATTACAAAGAATGTTCAATTAAATGATCTAGACAGTGCCCTGCAATAGACTGGTGACCTGGTCAGGGTGTACCCCGCCTCTCTCCCATAGACAGCTGGAGACAGGCACCACACCCCTTGCAACTCCAGCAGGGATGAAGCGTGACAGAAAATGGATGGAAGAATGATCTATACATATTGTTTTGAATTTTCTATCTAGGGCAACTCAGCTGACAGCACTGAGTTTTTCACTTTGCAGTATTTTCTTATCCTAGATGAGTGTATGGTGACAGTAGACATTCATTTGTTTTGTGTCATTAACTCTACAGCAATCCCTGAAACTGAGCATGCATGCAGCAATGGTGCACAGGAAAAACTGTCTTCTAACAAGAAGAAATCAGAACTCTGGCTGCACCATTTTGAGGGATTGCTGTCAAGTCAATAAGTTGATGCAATAAGCAGATATTCTGGTTGAATTGTCTCTGTAAAGTGCCTTGAGATGACATATGTTGTGAATTGGAGCAAATAAATAAAATGAATTGAACTGAATAGCAATACTTAGCGAGAATAAGAGGATTTTATTTCAAACGTTACAGCTTCTGTACTGTTTCATATTAAATGATATTCCATAATTCAGATCACTGCAGACAATTTTGAGGTTTATTATTTATTAAGTCAAGACGAATACTGTAAATTAAGCATTTCTTGATTTAAACATATTTATTTTGTCATGATCAGGGTAAAGAATCAATCAATATGTAAATTTTCAAACACTTATTTACACATATAGAAGATCAAGAAAAAAGATCTCATCTGGGTTGATACTGTGTATTTTTTTTTATTGTTTTCTGTCACAGCAAAAATGAACTTTGTATTACTCTAATCGGCTCTAAATGTGAAATGTGGAGGTAAAAGAGGTCCCATGCATTGCCGAACCTCATTGTCTGACAACAATAATAAGGTTTTTCACAGGTCATATTCATTTTACGATTATATAGTCATTTTATTCTAGAGATAACATTTTAGAATTACAATTCAACTTTATTGTTATTACACTGTCACATATACAAAGCAACAAAATTCCCCCTCTGCATTTAACCCATGCCTTTGGTAAGCAGTAGGCTGCCATTGTGCGGCACCCGGGGAGCAGTGTGGGGACTCAGAGTGGCAGTCCGTGGGAGTGGGGCTTAAACTCAGAACCTCCGAGATCCAAGTGCAATGACCTAATCATTAGTCCAGAACCCCTATAAAGAGACAAATTAGAAAACTGGAGAAATTCAGCTCTGCATTTAACCCATCCCCATGGGGAGCAGTGGGCTTCCCCAGGCCATCACCTCACACACAGTGCCATTTACGTTTGAGATCAGGGCACAGCATGGCCTCCAGATCATCTATCTTTATCGACTCCACGTCTTTGGAGCTGGACACACTGGCAGCTCGGGTGATTTTGCTAAGCGTTTCCTCATATGGATGAGGGAGGTAAACCATGACAAAGACTCTGTCCGATCCATCGGAGCTGGTGCTGGTGTGGCGCTCAGCGTCCCTGGTTAGGGAGGCAAAAAACTCTGGATTCCCATCCGCTGCCTGGATATCCAGGCTGAATATGTTAGCCAGGTTAAATTTATGATGGAAACAATGTTGATGGATCAGACCAACCAGGAGAACCAGGAGGAAGATGGATACAACAGGGGAAAAAATGTACAGCGTCAGCTCTAAGCTTCTGTCCTCGTCTGCCTCCAATTCAGTCCAGTTGTTGCTCTAAAGATCAAAAAGAAAGGTTTTCAAAAATAGTTCTACTCAAATTGTCTGTCATATTGGTATCTGGAAAACAACGAATGAGTACAAGCAAAGGTTAACCACAAGTTCTGCATATTTCTTTTCACAAAAGATATGAAAATATAAAGTTTTGTCATCCCGCTTAAAGATTTTATGATTTAAAGTTTTAGATTATTAGTGTAGGAGCCAATTATCCTTTGGTGTTTGTCACCACCAGGGGGCGTATTTAATTTTGAGTTCTGAGTGTCTGATGAAGGGATGGGTTATTTAAGGTCAACCATCAATTCTGTTCAGGTGTTGTTAACAGGTTGAGGCAAACAGTTTTCTACTGTGCTTGGTTTGGATATGTGGCGAATTTATGTGGATCTTGAAGGAAACAGTAAGACAATGGACTTTGTGCTGAAAATAAATGACTTTATTTTATGTCAAACGGAAGATTGGCATTCTAAATCTTAATTGAGCGCACGTAAAACCAGTGCCTTCCAACATTAACCACCAGTAGCCTAAAATATAGGATTTTAGCCGATACAATTAGTGATGAATTTAAAAAATAGTAAAATGAAAAGTTCTAAATCCATGTTAAATCTACAATATCATTCATTACAAAGTTTCTGATATAGTGTGTATATCATTTATTACTTTTATTTGGTGGAATTGGGGGATTTTATACAGTTTATTTTAACTGAAAACAGTATTGGCATTTTCATTTTCAATTCTACACAAAATCTCCAAACAGAAAGATACTGAGAACTAGAAAATTTCTAAAGAAATTTTGAGGGGGGCCACCTACTGCCCGTCTGGGTTACTGGGCCAATACGGCCCTGGCAAGTGACATTGGGGCTCCCCAGACCAACTGCTTACGCCTTTGAGGGCTGCTGAGGGAAGGAAAGAGGGCCAAGTCATGGGCAAAGAGAGCTGTGTGCCACTTGTGCTGAAATCTGGGAAATAGACGTGCACAGCATATGATGCACAAGGGTAATATGGTTTGTCCATATTGAACCGCAGTGGGTAAAGCGCAGTTGGCGGGCTCCGCCCGCCTGCTAGGAGCCCTTGCAGCGATGAAAAAAATCACCAATGGCGGGCTCCGCCCGCCTGCTAAGAGCCATTGCAGTGATGAAATCACCATTGGCGGGCTTTGCCCGCCTTCTAAGAGCCATTGCAGTGATGAAATCACAAATGGCGGGCTCCGCCCGCATGCTCAGAGCCATTGCAGTGATGAAATTACAAATGGCTATCAGCAATATGCCAGAATGTATGAGTGTGTATAAGGAAGAGGCTTTTAATCTCTTTAGTCCCTGTAGTGTTATTTTGAAAGTCTATCATGGATGTGCATCAAAAGATGGGTCATGCCCAGCAGTGATATAGAATCCATTTCCAAATGTTAAATCACTGGTTTTCCATGTTATTAGGTGAATAGCTGCTTTATTACAGAGTAAATGGGAGACTTTTATTGTGAAAT